TATTCAACTTATGCTCTATATTTATATATATATATATATGTAGATTTTTTTTCTGTTATTTTTCTTTTAATCATATTACACATATAAGTGCTATCGGTATATAGTATAAAAAAAATCAAGTTCGAAAAATACTCGTAGAGAGAAATAAATTATTATCTATCGAGAACACGATCCCGATCGAAGACGATGCATTATACTTTGATAACGTATGATATATTATCATGATAAAAACAACAGAAAAAATTTGCTTGTGCTGTGGACAGGTAGATGATGATGATGGTGATGATAATGATAAACAGAAAACAGGAAAAGTGTCGGATTAATATTACGCAAAAATGATATATATATATATATATATATATATATAATTTATGTACCAAAAAGTGTATTTAATTTAAAATATTTTCACAACTAGACACTTTGGATCTATCGCTAAAAACACCATCAAAGAAGCAGATTGAGAATGAGAATTATTTCATTTCTAATACATATTATTATGTATATTTATCTTTAAACTGAAATTATAATTCTTCACGATTATATCTCGATAATTGTTCAATGCTTTTTTTTTGTTCGCATCGCGAGGCTATTTTTAAAAAGTATCTTCTTCTTCTTCTTCTTCTAATTATTTTATTTGCATAAATAACAAATAACGCGCCCATCGTATTTTTTATTTTCCTCCTCTTCTTCTTTTTTCTCATTAGTTTTTCATCTTCTTTCTTTCTTTTTTTCTTCCTTTTCTTCTATTCTTATTATTTTAAAAACCACATATGCAATAACGATCATATGAGGAAGAAAATGAAATACTTTTTGGTTTACGTTGCTACTGTACAAAATAATTTATCGCTTACTACCACTGTTACTTTTTTACGAACGTAAGGAAGTACTGTTTAAAAAATATAAAGAGGTGCGCTCAGAAGGAAGCGTGCCAAACCGCTCGATATATTAGTTATATCAATATTGCAGATATATCGTACGCAAAAGTGCACGAATAATAATAACCTACGTTTAAAAAGGTTCTTCGATATTCGCAATTGTCTTTCAGGAGACCCTTGCAACGCGCATCATGTATATTTAATTAACGCGATTGATTTAAACGCATTTTAACAATCTTGGCAAAATTATATACTTATTTCGAAAACGTAAAATTAAACTCTAGAATCATGATATACAAATAAATCTTTCAACATTTGTTACAATATATAATAACATAATATATTGTATAATAACATATATATATACACACACATATATATATATATATGTTTTAAGGAAATATAAGATAAAATTGTTAATGTCATATACATTTGCTTTACGTAATGTAAGTTCAATTGATAAACACTGATTATTTAATCTGTATGAAATCGCGAATGATTTGATCTGTTTATTATATTGTGTCATAGCATACTGTGTATTATATTATACTATTTTATACTATATCGTATTATACTGCATTAATGTAGTATTATGTATTATAGCATTACACTATGTCAACCTACTATGTTATAAATTGTTGATGCGGGCAAAAAAAAGGTTTAAAGAAAATTTCTTCTTCAAAAATCTCTCGATAAATTGATTTTTTATACACATTATTTTCAGTCTTGTCTTTAAATAAACATATATAAAGTCTTTCAAGTATCCTATCCATAGCAAGAGCTTAGGAAGCTATCTCAAAGAATTTATTTTTTTCTTTAAAATTAGGTATACTTCGGAATAAAAACCCAAATATACAGTTCGTCTTTTTAATCATGTTATTTTCGTATTATGATTAATTTTTTAAATTAAATAACATTTTTTAATTTCTGTATCGTTCAACGAACAAGAAAGAAAATTCTATAATTCAAGCTTATTCACAATGCCAAAGCGAACTGGAACTCTGAGTTTTCTGTTGTTGTATTTTTTTTTTTTCCTTTTTTTTCTTTTAAATTATGAAAATGATATATTTACATAAACATTGCTTTTTTTCCCTATATTACTAACCTAATCTCAAATAAAGTCACAACCTACTCACACATATTCACTGAATTTTCGATTAAAATTTTTTAAACAAAATTTTATACTAGTTCAATCGTAACTCGACGTTACGCGCGTACAATTCATCTGATGCTCCATAAATATTAAATAAAAAATAATTAATCTCTACACGCAATGATTTTTGCAGCTGAAGAAGCATCAATACAATAGAGTGGAGTGACTAATAAGTATTTCTCATTTATATTTCCAGATCAATTTTTTCAATGTTTTCAATTTGCACATACATTCTCGTAAAAAATAAAAAGTAAATAATTATAATAATTATAATAACATCGATAAAATTGAAAATATGAAACAAATAAAAATCAATCTTCCAATTAATAACATTTATAGTTTAGCATATCTAAGAAATTTTCGAATATTTATTATTTACTGTAAATTTAATCTACCACACGTAGTCTACTCATACTTGACACCAACAACTTTAAGATACATATAAAGAATGCTGACAAAATACGAGTATTGGCTGGTATTTCGGAAAATACATTTAAAAAAAATATTTCTTTGCCTTATTTTAATGTATAAAAAAATGTATAAAAAAAGACAAAGATAGAAAGAGACAAAAACGAAAAAGGAAAGACAACTTGTGCATAACCGGTACTCCACTCTTAACGTTACGTTTTTGTCCGTGAAAATTAATTCTATATAAGATAAATTTGTAGGTGCACTACATTAATGTTCTGGTTAGTCGTCGAATATGTCGTCAGCTTTTCTCATGAATTAATGGATATTAAAAAACCGTGAATGTGTCATGTATGGAAAATCTTACTTACTTAAAATGATACCGATAAAGACCAGAACTTTAAATTTTCAATGACAATGAATCTTGTGTAATTATTTTTCAAGAGCCATGACTCTTGTCAAACTTCCATGTATATAGAAGGTTGTTGAGATATGAATGGTTCGCTCCACATCCGACGTAAATCTCCCTAAAAAATTATAACCGAATTCTGAAGTATACATACGTAAATGTAAATGATAAAAAGTAATCTGCTTAAAATATACCTTTAGATAAGCCATCGTCAGTAGTGGCAGAAGAGTAAAGGGCACAAGATATAATAAGGCAGGCTGTGCAGCTTTGAACACCTCAGAGCTTACAGTAGCAGTGAGTAAACCAAGAAAATAGCCAATTAAGGAGCAATGGAAATAACTAATACGGTTAAAGTGTCGTGGGGGTGGAACTCCTGTTTCACAACCACCAGGCAAGAGCTGACTCTTTTTGTATGCATCATATCTTAACACAAAGCAGAGTAAAAGCCCTGGCATAACGATATCGCCAAGACCTAACATCGAGAAATGTCCCGCTTGATGCATCGAAGGAAACATCAGCTTTCCTGGTAGAGGAAGTTTTGGAGCTTCCCTAGCTACGCCACCTAAGTGCAATCTTTTGGCGACAAGACTTACTGGATTATCAGCAGGTCTAGTTGCTACCTACGAAAAGTAATAACATCTAAAATTATGTCTCTTTAAAGACAACATTTTGAAAGTTTAGAAGTCTAGGATTCTTTGACTAAATAGAAATCATGCTCGTTTGATTATTATGATAAGAGAACAATTTACGTGATTTACCTTAACCATTACGTTTGCACTAAATATATAGGACGAAAAGAAGACCCAGAATACATCGTAAATCAAAAGTCCGGTTAATAGCAAAGTAGATACTTTTAAACTTGGTAATCGAACAAATGCGATGAAGGCTACACAGAGGCCCATGCCCATTGCATCCATAAGCAACCAGTGTCCTGTCAGTACCCATATACATACTATGCTCACGCTGAGTGAAAATGAAAGTAATTCTGCTCCTGTAAATCTTCCACAAATACCAAAGGAAATTTTATTGCCATCTGTGCAGGGTCTAATTATATATTGACACATGGGTAGTAGAAGAAATGCCAAAGCAACTGTAGCTATAACTAGAAATACAATGAAATATATTTTTTATGTTATTGTTCTATCGACCAATAATAAAATGTTCTTAAAGACAACTATAGGTAAACTTACTTGCTGTACATATTGCTAAGAGCATTTGCATACTATCAAAAAAGAAAAACATGACGAGTAGAGAAATGGAAGCACCAAGAGGTAGACAGAGAGCATGCATTGTATCTAAGGTTTGGATTCTTCCTCCATTAGCACCACCTGTGTTTCCAGTACCACTAGTACTCGACATCCCATTACGTTCTTTTTCTTTTTCTCTTTCTTTCGCTTCCTGTTCCATATTTAAGGATCGGAAACTGCCATAGACTATCAGTAGAATTGAAATTAGGAAAGTGGATATCCTAGATGAATCCATTATAGAGTAAGCCCTAAAAACCATAAATATAGTCAGAATGCATAAATTAATAAAGTAAGATAATAAAGAGTAATTTGCATGTGAAGAAAACTAACCACTGATAGTCAACTTGATACGTGGCCATGATTAGCAATGCTTGGCCGTAGCACACAGCGCTATGCTAAGACACTTTGTGTCATTTAGACGTTTTTTAATGTACTTTCCATTTGCACTAATCTATATCAGAGATCATCTGTAAAGAAAACCATGAATTAATCCAAAAAATACTGCCACTTCCATAATCTGTCATATTCGAATTAATAAATTGAAAAGAACAATAAATATTTACCTATCGCACATCACATTAAACATTATTGGCAAAGCGAATTAGGCCGCTTGAAACTTCAGTCACCACCTAGAGAAAAATAAATTATTTCTTTTGCTATTGTGTAAAAAGATTAAAGGAAAATAAAAACAACAAAGAACACGATTAAGTTACATACACGTATTTCCATTGGTTGAAATTATATAACATATTAGCAAAGAATAAAGGAAACTTTTTAAAAAAAGAAAAAAAAAAATATAAGGTTATCAATGCAAAGTTAAAAATAAAAACATTCATTAAATGGGGGGGAAAATAAATAAGACAGCCATTTTACCGTGTTGCAGGAGAATGTTGTCATCAGCATTAATAATTAAAATCATTTTCAGGTAGTAGTACGGAGTACACGAAACGAGTTTTGGCTTTGTTAATATACGGAGAAACAATAGCAGCAAGTTTCTTTCTTCTACTTTCAAACTTTCGCTCACGACTCCTCGACTGCTCGTTACCAAACCACCACCGAGTGCACAAGGTAAGAAAATCTATTTGTCAAGAGACATCGAAAGTTAAATTAACGGCAGCTGTGAAGTTGAATGTAGAAACGAACGATAATATCACTCGAATTTATGTTTATTCTCGTTAGATTTAACGAACGTCAATATAATTGGAGATGGAATGACAATCAAATAACAGCGAAATACAAATTTACGAACGGTGAGTGTTCACCATTTTGGTAAACATACGGGGTCACGTGACTGGCCCTGGCCCCAAGAGGTTGCTACTCCCTTACCCTAGATTGTATTTCGACTGGCGATTTTCTTCAATCCATCCACCTGTCTGTCTCTCTCTCTCTCTCTCTCTCTCTGTTTCTCTCTCTTTCTCACTCACTCTCTTACTCTCTCTTTCTCGCTCTCTCACTCTCTCACCTGGCCGATGTGATGCCTGGCCCATCAACGATTCTATTCGTCACCTTCATTTATATTATTAACTTCCCATAAGATCAATATATTTTAACAATCGAGTTAGTATAAATGTTTGCAATCCGTGTAAAGAGAGAAATGCGCGATTATTATCGCACGATCGGTCAACCAGCACAGTCAACTGTACAGGTCAACCATTTGTGAATGCTGCCGACTACTGGCGACTACTGCTGTTTCTTGACAGGCGCACCTCGCTAGAAATCCGCATTCACTCTACATTTAATACAAAGAAATTTGACAATTTTCCTACTATTTATCTAGTTAAATTTATTTTAAAAGAATATATTTATTTCATTATGTCCGTATGTATTGTACAAATTAACTAGGCAATATATAACTAACTATTGTTAAACTTTTCCTTTCGAAAATCTTAAAATCGCATTCTTATAATGTTAAATTGCTTCTATGTTTCTCTTGTATTCTGTTATATTTTTTTTATTATTATTTTTACTTTTTTACGATTTCTTTTTATATTTTTTAATATACGATTAATTAAAAGGTATAAAAAATAATAAATAATAGACAGGAAATACGAAGATTGGCGATAGGAAAAAAACAAATATGCAACACGTGGTTTTACATTTGAGATACGCGAATCTGTAAACAAAATATTAAATTACATAATTTATTCACAAGTATACACTGGTTTTTTTTTAAAACAATCATTGTAATATCAAAGAAAAATAATAGTTTTTGTTATTGAATAAAAATGTATGTAAATCCGCCTTGATGCCGCCATGATGCCGCCATGATGCCGCCATGATGCATTTGACAACGCGTTCGCGACGCTATCTGCTTGCATTAAAAGCGGAAAGTTTCGATATATTACGACAATTCGAGTTAGAAGTTCGAGTTCTTATCTTTGTTCACGGTTTTACTACTTCCTCGTGCTTGCGCGGTCTCTACTTGTTGCACACGTCGTGTTTAACCAATCTTCTTCTTTTCCACTAATTACGAAATAAATTGAATTTCTTTTAACGAGAAATAATACAGAATAAATAGAAAAAATGGCGAGTTATCATAAACCGGAATCTAAAACTATTCAAGAATTAAAAGACATCGCTAATAAATTGAGGATTCATTCGATCGAGGCCACACAAGCTAGCAAGTCTGGGTAAGGATTTTTTATACTTGATAATGTGCATTCTAACGAAGAATTATTTATAAAGAATAATCATTTATTATTGATTACGTGTTAACCTTTTCTTTTTAATTTTTTTTCATCGACGATCACATGGTATGCTTGAAATTTTGGAACTTTCGCGCCTAAAAGGTACAAAGTCATCGTGAAAGATCGCGACAATAAATTATTCTTCTTAGTAATGTATGTCGTCGTTAAAATGACCTTCGCTCGTTAGAAAAATCAATTCTGGATTAAAAGTGACGGGCGGTAGAAATGATTGAAACGAACCAACATCACCTTGTAACATATAGGAGCTAAGAGAGTAATTGTTTGCGCATCCATCTTTGAAATCGTACGACAATGTGTATGATAAGAGAAATTACTGCCACATTTACAGATATCGTCGATAATAGAAATGAATGCTAGAAATATCGAGTTCCAGGATCGCGAATTATTTGATTTTCTTGGAATAGAGAATCTCTGTGTTGTTTTTTTTTGTCACAAAGATAGAAACTTTTTCATACTACCGGCATTATTACTACAAACACGCACGAACACTTTCTTTTCTTTTGGTTTCTTTATACAATCTTTTTTCTTTTTTATACGATAGACAATTTTTGTTCAACAAATATTTTATTTGTATAAATTTCATTTGGTTCCAATTTTCGATGCAGTTAATCTTGTAATATTTATTTCTGCATTTATAATTTTGTTTTTTTTTTCTCGAGACCACCGGGATCAAAATAATCTTGTAAAGCTTATATCATATTTACGTATTTTTTCCCCAGTGTCAAGACATTACGTCATTACTTCAATGTAATGCAACGTGTTTTTTATGCGTACTTTTAAACCGTTTTAATGTTCATCGTTTCAAAGAAACCACCAGATTATCGTGTGTGTTCTCCCAGTTAGTTAACAATGTCATTATACATACACGCGCGCACGCGCACGCGCATATACGAATCATTTAACGAATGTAATTACCATAGTAATTAACATTTCCCATCAATAAAGGTTTTACTTTATTTTTACGATAAAAAATAACTCGTTTTTCTATAAGTTTATTATTTTTTGGTAAAAAGAAATGCTTCGTAACAATGGAATTTCACTTCCACGTGTATTCGTGCATATATGTTACGTAATATTCATACATAATACATGGATATGCTCGTGCAAATGAAAAATCACGCGTTATAGTCTCATATAATTAAGACGATTTAAAAATATTAATGTTTAATTGAAAAAAAGAATTGAAATTTATGTTAAAATACGAAAAGCGAAGTTACGACGTAAGCAATGTAATTTCACATTTTTAGTCAACTTGACAGAAAATGCGAGTCATCGAATTAGCTTAGTAATTTCTTTTTTCTTTCTTTTTCTTTTACTAATAAATTGTTTTTAATATTAAAACGAAGAGAATACTGTAAAAAAAAAAGATAATTAATTTCGTCTTTAAATCACTATTATTTTTACAAATTTATATAGATTTTTATTAATGATATTTGACATTTATTAGGTAGTAACATAATTTCAAGTTAAATCCCAATAAATCTGTAAAATGAAATCGACGAGTAAAAACAATTGGTAATTTGTTGCACAAATATGATTAGACTAAAACGTGTAAAAAAAAAAAAAAGGAAATTAATGGAAAATAATTGATATTGAAGTGTATACTAAATATAGAATCGTTAAAATCATGAATCGTTGTAACGGTACGTGTAATAACCGGATGTTCAACGATCAGTTTAACGTAAGCGAATAATGTAATGTATAATCAGTGGTAGGAAAGTGAAATAGTAGGGGAAATTTACAATTCAGAGGTATGTAACTCGTCGAATCTGTTACCGGCCGTTAGTTATTCAATACTTCTTGTGGAATACATTTGTTAAAATTTTTTAACGCTCCAAAATTCAAGATGGTATCTTCGACGGAGGTAACTAAGTTACAGGACTTAGCAACTAAACTTCGTTTGCATTCCATACAAGCGACTGAGGCATCGAAAAGCGGGTTTGTTTTTAATTACAATTATTACAATATTTTTTATGTTACATGTAAACCAATATAGTTTTTCTTTTTTGCAATTATCGTTCACGATGTTTCGTTGTTTTTTTTTCGCGCACCTTTATAGAACGTCATTTTGTTAATAATTATCGATAAATATTAGATCCTTCGATTGTAGAACGTTCTTATTTGTTTTATAATTGTATTTCTTATTACACGTAATACTTGTTTAAACAATAATTGATTGGCATCCACACATGATGTTCGTTATATATGTTTCGTCGTTTTTCACACGTATGTATTAAACACGATAATTATTAATATTAAGAGAGTACTAAAAATATTAATCTATGCATAATTGCATATGTAACAATTATAAAGGATTTATAGATTTATTTATAATATACTTTTTTCTTTCTTGGTTTAATTATTTTTATTCGAGGTTATGCATAACCTCGTATTCGTTATGCTCACCATATGATTATGAATTTTTTATTACGTTATTCTTTATCATATTATTTAATTATTACTATTATTAGTGTTAGGTACACTAATGTGCATTTTCAATCCTCTAATTAATGTCCTTTATTTGACCCGACACATCACGCCAGTGAGATAAGTAGCACTTTGACCCTGATAAGAACTTCTGATTGTAGATATAAATATGATCTTCTCATAAAGATCCTTGATAGTTTCTAATTTTTTTTTTAACTCTTTCTTATCTACCCTTTCTTATTATTTATGTAATTTATATAATTGGAATGTATTTATTGTCTAGTTGTTTGCTTGATTAGGAAGAATAGAATTAGGGAAATAATACGTTTATTTCTATTATTATAGACATCCAACATCATGTTCTTCGATGGCAGAAATTATGTCTGTTCTATTCTTCCATACGATGCGTTACAAAGTATCTGCACCACGTGACCCAAGTAGTGACAGATTTATACTTAGCAAAGGCCATGCTGCGCCCATTCTTTATGCAGGTAAAATATTATAATGACGATACTGAAAATGTGATCTAATAGAATGAAAGAAAATTACAAAAATATATTTTTTGTACTTCATAGCTTGGGCAGAGGCTGGTCTATTCCCTGCTAGCGAGTTATTGAACTTGCGTAAGTTTGACAGTGATTTGGAAGGTCATCCTACTCCAAGGCTCAATTTCATAGATGTAGGAACAGGTTCTTTAGGTCAAGGTCTTTCCGTTGCAGCAGGCATGGCTTATGTGGGAAAGAATTTTGATAAGGCTAGCTACCGGTATGCATAATAAAATTCTAATTATTTTTTAAGCTGTGTACTTTAGCAAAAGTTTATAATTTTATTTTTTTCTTAGAGTGTACTGTTTAATCGGCGATGGAGAAGCAGCAGAGGGTTCTATCTGGGAAGCATTGCATTTTTCTTCTTATTATAAATTAGATAACTTGTGCGCTATATTTGATATTAATCGTTTGGGACAAAGTGAACCTACTTCTCTTCAACATAACATGGAAGTTTATCGTAAAAGACTTGAAGCTTTTGGTTTCAATGCTTTGGTCGTTGACGGTCATGATGTTGAAGAACTTGCTAAGGTATATAAGTGAATTTACAAATAAAAAATTCACGATATACAATTTTAATATTTAAATAAATAAATTAATTTTGCTTCTAGGCATTCCATGAAGCACAAAATACAAAGGGACGTCCGACTGCCATTTTGGCTAAAACATTTAAGGGTAAACATTTTCCTAATATTGAAGATTTAGAGAATTGGCATGGAAAGCCACTTGGTACTAAAGCTAATGAAATAACCCAGGTATAATATCTTGAGTCTTATCACCGACATATTCGTTGATAATAATCGCTTGCGTTTTATTGATTAGATGTTTAATTTCATTTTTAGCATTTGACTGGACTTTTAAAAAATTCTGGTCCTTTGGGATTACACCCTCAAAAACCATTAGTGGACGATGCTCCCGTAATAGACATTAGTAATGTTAAATTGGCCTCACCTCCAAGTTATAAACTCGGAGAACAAGTAGCTACTAGATTAGCTTATGGTACTGCTCTTGCCAAGGTTTGTCTATTTATATTGGTCTATTTATATCAGAGGTTAATTACACCTACAGTTTATTTTTATTTTATTTTGTTTTGTGATTTTTTCTTTTCATTAGCTAGCGAAGAATAATCCACGTGTAATAGCTTTAGATGGCGACACCAAGAATTCTACTTTTGCTGAGAAAATAAAGACTGTAGATCCAAATAGGTTCATCGAAGGTTTCATAGCCGAACAAAACGTTGTTGGTGTTGCCATCGGTGCTGCTTGCAGAGATCGAACTGTTGCTTTTGTTTCTGCATTTGCTACATTCTTTACACGTGCCTTTGATCAGGTAAAAGTTGCATTATTATTTTTATTATTATTATTATTATTATTATTATTATTATTATTATTATTATTATTATTATTATTATTCTGTCAAATATCTGATTTATGTAATCCATTAATGTTATTCATCTTTAATGGTATAGATTCGCATGGGAGCTATTTCTCAGACGAATGTAAACTTTGTTGGTTCGCATTGTGGTGTATCCATTGGTGAGGATGGACCATCACAAATGGGTTTGGAGGATATTGCAATGTTCCGTACGGTACCTGGATCAACAGTATTTTATCCGTGCGATGCTGTATCTACTGAACGTGCCGTTGAATTGGCTGCTAATACGAAAGGCATTTGTTTCATTCGTACCTCGCGTCCAGCTACAGCTGTTGTCTATAAAAACGAAGAAACATTTGCCCCTGGTAAAGCTAAAGTATTGAGATCTACTGCAAAAGATCAAGTTCTTGTTATCGGTGCTGGAGTAACTATCCATGAAGCACTAAAAGCAGCAGACGAGTTAACTGGTATAAATGTTCGCGTGATTGATCCGTTCACTATTAAACCTCTTGATGCACAAACAATTATTAAGAATGCTAAAGAGACTGGTGGTAGAATCGTAACCGTTGAAGATCATTATGCTGAAGGTGGTTTAGGAGAAGCGGTAACTTCTGCCGTTTCTTTGGAACGTAATATTATTGTTAAAAAACTCGCTGTACCTGAAGTACCACGATCTGGTCCTCCGAATGTCTTAATTGACAACTATGGTATTAGTGCTCGTAAGATCATTTCTGCGATACAAGATATTTTGAAGTTGTAGTTTTATATATATATATATATATATATATATATATATGTATAAATAAATAAAAATCTTTGT